GCGGGGTTTAAATGAGCACCTTAAAAAGAAACCACAGTTATGACATGCAAATCCGTTTATAACTATTATGTAAGGTGTTTTTTTCTGCATTTTTGGTTAGTATAATATTAATGGCGGTCCCAAACAACACTTTAAAGAGTTCATTTCCAGGTATTATGATCTAAACTGGAATTTAGACAAAACTATTGATCAGGGTAAGACTTGTCACCAGGTGTGGAGTCAAGTGTGGCCAACACACAATCAACAAGCTTGTTCTTGTTAGAGATCTGCATACATATTAATTTAACCACTTCTTTTTCTAGCAGCTTCTCAGTGGCTGATGTTCCTTTACAGACATGTCAACAGTCTTATGAGGTTTATCAGCAATTAAAAAGAAATGTTCTAGTTTCTTATAATTAAATAAGAGTTACCTTAAAAAGCCTGATGTTACAGGAAGTTTCTTCCTAAAAACAGGAGTTTCATCTCCTCACCATCACCAAGTGCTTCCTCATCGGGGGCTGTCTAATTGTTGGAAATTCTCTCTCATATTGCAGGGTCTTTATCTTACACCATTAAAGTGATGTGACTGTTGTAAACTGGTGGTTTACTGTATAAAAACATAACTCTAACTTCAGATTAAGAACAGATTGTCTGGCTCCGTCATTGCTCGTCACAGTGAAAAGTAAAGTTCATTAACTCACACTAACAGTTTACATACACAGTCAGTGGCACCGACCTGGATTTTAAGCACGATCCACAAATTTTCAATAGGATTGAGGTCAGAGCTTTGGGAACGCCATTCCAGAAGTGTAATGTTAGCTTGTTCATCTAGCCGATGATTTAGCAGCTAGATGTTAGCAGCACAACAGCCTCAGACCATGATGCTACCACCACCATGTTTGACAGTTGGCTAGCGTTTACTCCTTCAAATATACTCTTTGTCATTGTGGCCGTATAGCTCAATCTTGTCTTGTGTTACCATCAAACTTTTCTCCAGATGGTATTTGGTTTTGGTTTTGGAGCAGGGCCTTATTTCTTTGTCAGCATTCTCTCTGTCCATTGCGACTTGAAACTCACTTCTTAATCATTTCTACTTGTTTAGAAATGTCTCAAGAGATGTTCCCATTGTAAATCTACAATTTTCCTTCTTAGATTTTCACTGAATTCCTTGGACTTTCCCATTGGTCAGTCCGCTGAGTGCTGTCAATTAAATCTCCTTCATGCTGGTAATGAAAAACTACCAAACTGTAGTGATTCGTGATCACTAGCAAGAAGTTAAAAGGCTCTGGCCTTGTCAAGTTAAAAACCCCTCAGCACTGCTTATTAAAAGATTTAAGTCAGTGTGTGTATATATTTGAACCTGTGTGGATTAAAGAAAATCAGTAAAGATGTATGCTGTACAATCATTCCACCCTGGAAAAAGGACAGTGCAAAGAAATAATTAAGTTCCCCAAATTACCATGAGTTTATGTAAACTTCTAATCACAGTTCTGCATACCCAGTAACTTCGTTCAGTCCCTTACCCGATACTCCACGAGACACAAAGACCCCAAATGTTACTCCCAGAGCAAAACCCAGATTAATTGAGAGGTACTGGCCCTTTTTGTCTTCAGTTGTGACCACTTGGGCAACAGAGCCACATCCAAACAGCTGCAATTACATGAAATGAAGAGAAGTATTAGCAGTCGAATATATACACGAGTGTACCCAATCAAAACAGTGGAGAATGATCCAAACTCTCAAAATCTTCAGAACCTCCCCAAATGAATCTTCTGATTAATCCACAATAGCAGCATTTTATCTTGCTTAGATCCATTCAACATACATCCAGTTTGAATGTTTAACTAAAGAGCTGCTTTATGATTTGTGCCGTAAATGTTCATTGCCCCAGATAGTCATTAGAGATAAAACAACAGCACTGCAGTCAAAGGAATATCGCCTTTGGAAATCACTAACAAGAGAGTCCAATTTTACCACCCTCCCCTGCAGTCCCTGTCACCCTCTGTCTGTTTCATTCAGGCCAAAGTCCTTAGTTATACACCATGAAGAGTTATGAGGTGCTCTAAACAAACCAGCAGGGAATTTTACAGGAAACTCACTGACTGACACACTTCATGTTGAGTTTACTGGCTGAACTGAGGGAACTTTATTTGTTTTTTTAGTTATAAAAAGTTCCTACACAGCTAACTATATCTTAAATGTACGAAAAAAGAAGAAGAAAAGGACACTTACAATCAAGACGTAGACGCCGAGACATTCGGCCATGCACTCCCTGATCAGCTGGTTTCTGATCTGACATTTCTTCAGCAGCCTCTCCATCCCCGAGCTTTCCTCTGCACACTCTGGGAACAGGTGCGTTTTCAGAGCCGGGCAGGTGTCATCGGGTGGATCTGACCCGCAGAACTGCACCGTCTGCCTGGCTGAGCAGAGTTTGCTCTTTCATGCTGGAGGTGGAGGCTACGTCACACACTTTATGGAATTGCTGACGTGATTATGACTGTGTGCGTGGACTCAGGACATCTTAATCACAGCATGCGCGATGAAAAACAGTCTGTGCACCAAAAGCTCGGTAGTGGCTCAGTGGAGGGTTTCCTCATTTGATTGGCACTGGATCTGATTGTTCCCGTTTGATCGGAAAAGAAATTCAACATCTTAACTCTGTTATGTTATGCCCACTGCTGTATTTCTCAACATGGATCATTAGTATTCTCACAGGATGAAAACCATCACAAAACATAAAAACAATTAAACATGTCAAAAGATGATCAGATTGAAATGCACTTCTATATAAACAGATTGTGTTCTCACCCCAGCAAAAGGACATTTGTGATAGGGGCTCTGGTTTTTATAGTGGTTTCCAGATACGGTTCACATGATCACAGGGGATTTGTGGACAAAGGGCAGCAAAAGGACCTCACATCATTGATAACATGATACAAGATGAAGCTCTGCTCGGTTAAGCCAACATTTAAGCTTCATTTTAACCCATTAAAAATGACTACCTCATAAAAGTTGTTGTCACGCAATATATATCCTCTATTTATCCAGGAAAAAGACTCATTGAGGTTAAAATCTCTTTTTCTAACAAATATAACACATAAGATAAAAAAAAGAGTACAACTGATATTTAAGTGAATGCAAACATCCATGCAGTATCAGATCACATAAATTCTGTATCTGCATCACAATAGTTTGATTATGATATATATGAAGCCAACTTCCACAGGAAAGACCCCGTTATCCTCGCTCCTCTTAATAACTGAGCACAGCAGCGAGACCTCGCACATCAAAGAGTGTCCAGCACCTTTTAATGTTGATTAAACGTAAATTAATATTCTGTAAACATAGAAACTGAAAACCTGACACATTCATTTGCAGAGCAGAAGGAAAAGTTTTATGTGGAATCAGCTGATTAGGATGGACCAATGAGAAAAGGTTTTATAAACCCTCGTAAACACAGTTAAACAGAGGACGACTTGATAGACTTGGAAGAATTTGAATTCATGTCAAAACCCTTTTAGACTCAAAAATGAACGTTTGTTTGTTCACGTGTCTCTTCCAAGGTTATTGTAACTAAAACTATGCAGACCTAAAAACTAACTAAATGTTTGGGTTCCCATTATTCCGCTCGAGGTATTTTCTATGCAGCACAAAATACTGACTTTTACACCGCTCTTCACAAAATGTCCCAACCAATCCCCAAATTATTTCTTAAAGTAGAAAAAAACCCAGCTTATCAGTTTTTCAACTTCTATTCTTTCACTGATTTTCTTAATTCTTTGCCCACTGTCACTGTGATTTAACCCTCATATACAATGTGTGTTTAAAAAAAATCATTTATTTCATTTGTTTACATATGCATCAATTTTCAATATAAAGTTAGTTGCTTTATGTGTTGATTTATTCTGTGTGATTAGAAAAAAGACAAACTATTGTCATTTGTTTTGCCAGTCCATTTTTCCTCTTGATTAAAATGTTAAAAAACAAAAGCATCTGTATTTCTATTTTATTCCTTTTAGCCTAAAACATTACCTTTAGTTTATATCCCTCTCTGGATTTGAACACAGAAGCCCAACTAACTGCTTTTCAAACCCTCTGAGATTTTCACCAGACAGATGAACCAAAAATTACTTTTTCCACTGGCTGCATTGAGGTACAGTATAAGAAAAAAAAAAATGCTACTCTGCTACAGTCAAGATTAGACATATGGAGCCAGAGATTATTATAATAGGAACCATTTAAAGCAGGAGTGTCAAACAGAAGGCCGGGACGGCTTAGAAAAATGTGGAGGGCATAGATGTAAAAAATGTTTCACTACAACAAAGTAACCGACAAACATTGAAATGTCAAAAAAAGTTTAAATTTAGCACCGTCTGCTACAGAAATGTCTCTTTTTGTAACACAGTACAGTTAAATGTGTAAGTTCCTTTAAATTAAGAGAAAGGGCAGCGTCACTCGTCCGTCTCACTCGAGGTTTAAATGAGCTGTACATGACGCGTGAAAGAAATTGTGACCCTGTAGAGCCTGAACCACGAAATATTTGCCAGAAAATGAAGCATTTATGGAACTTTGTGTTCTATGAAATTTAAATTGTATCATAATTGATACATCCAGCATTTTTTTAAAGTTCTGCTTAAAAGTATATTGTGCAGTTTTGTTTTTTGATCATGTAAAATCTGAAGATTGTTACTAACAAAAATATGAGCCAAACAATTTTGTACATATATTAAGAGTCTTTTATTTAATTCTTCACTCACTCACATCCACACAGGCTTGTCTACAGGACAATACAAAAATAAAATATGGAAACGTGAATTGTTCGGCGTCTCATGTGTCTCAGTGTGTCACCATCAATAGCTTTCAGGATCTGCAGCTTCGATCCTGCATGATCAATTTGGACTTCCAGTTTCATCTTAAATGAGCCAGCGAGAATTTATCCACCATATTCGTTTTGGCAAAGGAAGACCATGAAACTATTTGTCCATACATTGGTATGTAATATAAATATGCCAGCTCACATCTCTAATAACTCCTTCACATTTTATTTAAAGCCTCCAAAGAACCTGGAGAATAATGAGCCATCATCCCGCAAGTTTGAGAAGCGGTGGGGATCACCTGGAAGAAAAGCAAAAATAAATACATGATTTTTTTGTGTGTGTGTCAGATAAACAATTCAAAGAACACACACCGGAGACAGGCTGACCTGGCAGCACGGGTCCATTCGAATGATCTGGTCCCCCAGAAATCCCAGAACCTCCCGAGCGAGTCACCGTGGTCTCCTCGTTGCCTTGGCCGTCTCTTACCGTACGCCTCTCCTCTACACTCTGACACACGCAAACGAAATGCTCATCAAAACTGAAACAAAACTATTAAAAGAATCACTATGAACGTATTAATACAGAATTAAGAAACACTCACCCCATCAGGCTTCACCACCTTAGTGACAGTGACAGACTGAAAGAAAGACCGAGTTCTTGGCTGGTCGGGTGCCTGACCAGCAGGTGGCGTCAGAAGCTGATCCAAGCCACCAGAGGACACAGCCGAGTCCAGATCTTGGGAGGACCAGGATGGGAATAGAAAATAAATTTGACACAATCTAAAAGAGCTTCCACTAAATTATCAAATAAAATGTAAATATCACCACCCACCTCTGTCACCTTTGTGCCCCTCCTCTGGAGTTTTGTGTCTCCAAATATCATTAAACTTTTAAACACACAATACAAAAATTTCAGTTAATATACAACTGCTTGTGTCGCAACAGAAACAAAGAAGGAGGAGTGAATATCTCCTTTACCCTGGAAAAAGGGGTCCGGCCATGAAATTCAGGTGACTCATAAGAAGGTCTGTGATCACCTCGGGGCTCTTTGGATCGTTGTTGTGTGTCGCTGTCAGGATATTTGAGCATAAAGTCTCTCAGAGGGTTTCCACTGGAGCTTCCTCGTCCTCTCTCTGCTCTGTCCTGAGACGGTGGTGGTGATATGATGTGGGGAACATCTAAAACACAAAGAGGGCAAAAGAGCAAACAGGTTAAACACAGAGGAGAGGAATATGTCGAGTTGTGGTAAGAATTTGAGTCTTCATGGGCATGGATGTCATGATTAACTTTGCGATTTTAATCATTTCTTTTTCCAGGGTGAAAGAATTGTACACCATACATCTTTACTGACACTTTTTTTTTACTTGTTTGTTTGTTTGTTTTTGTTACATTTCATTAAAAACAAGCAACATGAAAACGGGGCTTGTGGGTCTGTTTTCATACCAAAGCGTCCAGACTCTGGATGTCCCTCCCAACGACCCAGCTGGGAGAATATCTCCTCCATCTCCCTGAGGACGTGGCCAAACATCGGGGGGTCCTGAATCCGCATCCCGTCCGGGCCAAAACTGAAGCCAAACCTCCAGGCGCTGTCAAATGGGTCCTGCTGCTCCCCACTGAACCCATCATAGTGGAATCCATCTTCATCATCTTCATCTTCATCGTCGTCATGAGTCATGGCATCGAAGAAAGGGTCCCTGATAGACGAAGTAACACAAATGTACAAACTTTGAAATCTCCCTTTGGTTTAGAAACTGCGTTATAACATGCCACCAGCAAACAGACCCCAAAGTACTCAATCGTATTAACTCCGTGAGCATAAATAGCACCAAAATCTAGCTGAAGGACCCCTGTGGTTTTCCTGGCAGAAAACACTAATCTTGTCCCTGACATAGCTGCACGCAAAGCAAGTGTACTAAGTTCAGCTAGCTTAGCCGAGTGTACAGCTACGTACTCCGACGCCATAAACTCACCTCCGGCCACGATAATTGCCTCCGGGTACCCCGAAGAAGCCGCGAAATAAATCAAAAACACTCATTTATCTGCAGCTTTGGTGGACACTTAAACCATAACTTAAAATGTGCAAGCAACGGACACCAACTGGAGAAACTCGCCAAGAAGTACTACAGCTGTCAACAGTGTCGTAAAGCGTTCTAGACGATTTATCATGACGCAATTTGTCGTAATGTTACTTTACCGTAAATAATAGATAAAACGGGCACTCGAAATAAAAGCGCACTGTTGAGATTCAGGTAACAGTACGGCCAACCAACCACATTGAACCTTGAAGGGTACACCAGAATTAGACCACTACAGTTTGCAAGGAGTCAACAAAAATGGACAACAGAAGATTGGATAAAAGTTGCCTTTCTGATAAGTCTCCATTTCAACTGCATATTTGGATGGTAGGGTGAGAATTTGGTATTGACAACAGAAAGCTTGGAACCATTTTATATCAGTGGTTCAGGCTACTGCTGGTGGTTGGCACACTTTGGTCCCCTTAGTACAATTTAAACACAGCCTTCTTGAGTATTGCTGCTTCCAACCGGATAACGGGCCAAGTCAAACAGCTCATGCACCTTAAACTGGCTTCTTGAACATGACAATGAGTTTTTAAAATCAGACTCCACGGTCGGCAGATCTCAATCCGATGGAGCACCTTTGGGATCCAGTGGAACATCATGGATGTGCAGCATGGAAATCTTCTGCAGCTGTGTGATGCTATCATGTCAAAGGGGACCAAAATCTCTGAGGAATGTTTCCAGTACCATGAAAAAAATTAAGCAGTTATGAAGCCCCCCTTCATAACAGTACAATCTACTGCTAGCAAGGCGTAACTGGTAAGTGTATATGGGTTATATATATCTCATGAAATCAGAGTATAATACAATTATTCCAAATTGGATCAGAGCTCATTTAGAGAGAACATTTACAGCTTTTAGTATTTTATTTTTTTATTCTGATGCTCCAATACAGAAGCTTTGATGATTCAGAGTTTAAGAAATCCAATTTCTGCTACGTCTAACTTCATCCAGTGGCGGAAATGACCCTTTTCAAGCCCACTCATTGAGAGCCCAATGTCTTCTGACTGGCTGCAACTCACTTGGCTTCTAAAAACATAAGCTAGTGCTTGCAAGGTGTAATCACATATTGAAGAAAAGAAAAGAAAAGAAAAAAATCATACTAAGCTGACATGAGCTTGGCACAAGAAACCTAATAGAGACCAAGTGTTTGGAGCAGTCTGAAGCCTGAGCCAGTAAAGTAAAAATTTAGCTGCGTTTAATACAGTAAAAGACCTCAATTCAACAGAGCACCTTTGGGATACATTTACTGGCATTTAAAAGTACAGTTCTGTCTCTGATGTGCCTGCTAGAAAGGTGCCAAGATGCATATCTAGAGGGGGTAGAAAATATATCATGGAGAAACATAAAATGCTAAAGTGTATCCAAGACAGATGGAGGGTAAAATGTACAAAAAGAAACCCCCCGAACCAATACCGCACATTACATGGCCAGAAAATGTGTGATGTAGTTATAAGTTTGGACTTTTATTTGGTACTCTTGACAGCCTGGAGATTGTTGTGACTGAGCCCACTAACAGAAACCAACTGGAAAGCCTCCAGAGGTTTCAGTTCTACCCAACACTCCATGAACTGCTTGTACTGAATGACAGTGAAGAAGAGATGCTGCAGTATTTAAATGCCACATGAGAAATGTAGTTTCTTAAAAAGACATTCACATCCAAAATGATGAAAATGTCTTTTTCTTGTTTATTTACTTAATATTTATATATTTTTACAAAATAAAAAAAACAAAAAAACAAAGCTAACAAGTCTGCAAGGATTTAAGAAGGAAAAGAAGAAAGCCATCGAACAAACAGGGACTACAGTACTTGTGTTTTTTTTTTTATATATGTACAAGACAAGTTTATCCATTTAAACTTTTTTTTTTTTTTTAAAACGCACAGTACAAAAAGAAAAAAAAAATCACTGACAAAAAAAAGAAAAAACCCATAGTACAATTCTGTCCATCAGTATTCAATGCTGCAGATTTCCTTACAATGTTGGGGGGACAGGTGGCGGGGCAGGGAGGGCCTCAGAAACAAAATTATTCACACTGGAAGGCAGACTGGGTGTGTATTGGCCTTGGAAATCATTCTCATGTTTCAAAATAAGAGGGGCCTTATGAAATATTTATAATTAATGGGAAAAGTTACTGTACAAGTGTTGGATAATGAAAAAACAAAAACAAATCCTGTGCTAGGCAAAAAAAACAAAAACAAAACAAAAACCCAAGCACAGTACGCAACCATGGCCCCCCGTGTGTACAAACATGCACGCAGTCACATGACAAACACACTTTTTCCTCACAGTCAAAGCCAGTGAGCTTGCTTATATGTCTTTATATATAATATATCTATATTCGGTAAAAAATAAACTTCACAACTCTACCAATTTATAGAATTGTTTCTGCAAACTTAAAATGACATAAAAAAACAAAACAAAAACAAAAAAAACCCAAAACATAAAAAAGTAAACGGCAAATTATTGTGTTCGGAAATTGTTCAGGAGGGAAGAATTTCCGTCAAAATTAAGTAACAGGGAGTTGAGGGTCTGAAATACAAAACCAGCCTGCCCCCACCCCCTTTTAGAGATTACTTCATTCCTCCCCTTCAGTGGGGAAAAAAATGGGAAAAGACAAAAAAAAAAAAAAAAAAGACCATACAGGAAACGTTCATTCTTTTAGAAAAACAGTTCTATGTTACAAGTGAAAGGAAAAAAATGTTGGGGGGGGGGGCAAGGGGCGGGAAGATTAATACGATACAAATTCCCAACACTTAGTATTTCACCCTCTTGATGGTTTGCTTCTATCACCATTTATCTCCGATCGCCCCTCACTTTTAAAGCCCCTCCTGTCCCTCCCACCCATCCATCCATCCATGCATCATTAACAGTGCTCGTTCTCTCGGCACAGCACCTCCTCTGACTGCAATCAGAGCTGTGGGAGTGCTGGGCCAAGAGACTGGAGGGAAATCTTTGCAGGAGGAAGCGGGGATTTATACGTGGAGACTTATTTGCCGAAGGAGTGAAGAGCCTCCCACCCCTCCCAGCTTTTTGACACTGCGCGGGGTGGGGTCCCGTGAGTGGATGTTAGTTTGCCCCCCAGCTGTAGCTGTTGTACGCCGACTTGTTGATCTGAGACTTCTGTTGGATGGAGGCGTTCTGGCTGCGCTGTCCAGTGCCGCTCTGTGGAGGAGAGTCACAAAGTTCATCAGTGAGCTGCCGCCTCGTGCCATGTGTTTACCTAAAAGCAGCACAGCTAATGTCACGGTGAAACCACAAACACTTAATGAACTTGCCAACAAATCTTTTATAGGCAATTCACTAGATTTGTATTACTACTTATAACAGTCTGACTGCATGATGCTCAAGTGTGACTAGTTAACAGCCTGAATATAAAAGATGGAGCTACAGTGATGTCACCCACTCATTTTTCAGCGTTGACCATAAATTTTGGTCAAGCTGACCCGATCTCAGGCTCTAAAGCTGTCGCTGCATTGGTCACCGCTCGGGGAAACTGATGTCAACACACTTCCATCTTTTACTTTCAGTCTATGCATTTTTGAGCTCATTCAGACTGTTGATCATTACTATTTGACTCACTGGGTGGAGTTTCCTTGTCAATGAATTTGCCTGTGTATGGTTTTTTTTTGCTCCGCTTGTTTCTAAAAATCACATGACCTCAAATATGTAAGCATTTATATATACACACTGCACCTGTCCGTCTTGCTGCAGGTGGTGGTGCAGAATCTGAGAGTGGGGTTGTTGGTGTGGTGTCAGGATATGCATGAATGGAGCTGGAGCGTAGCCGGCAGCAGCAGGAGGGTTGATGGGGCCCCCGCTGCCCAGCGCAGAGGGCAGGCTGAATGATGCGGCTGGCGTCCCGGCGTGGAAGCCCTGCTTCTCAAACGACTGCAGGGGACCAGGAAGAAGAATAATCAGTTTGGCCACTATAGTGTTTTTTTGTTTGTTTGTTTGCTGCTACAAGACAAGCAGAAGCATATCCTGTGAGTAAATATTTCTGTTCTATTCTGTAGTTACCTGCGTCTTTGTGTAAACAGACCCTGAAATATCTGGTACTCCTGTGTTGCTTGATGTCACAGAGACTCCTGCAGAGAGGGGGAAAAGACACAAACTGAGCTCATTAACTGTTAAACCGAATATGTTACAGTAACCACCCACGTGGTTACGCTCTGATTCTAACCAGCACAGATGCTACTGGGTCGATGGACAACAAGGAAATGAATGTATAGACATTATCTATGAGGGGGAAAAAAATCCAAATTATAAAAGAATACTGGGAAATTCCAAGTATGAACATCTATGTGAGCACGAGTCCATAGATGATTTCAGCAGAATTTCCCTTTAGTGACGACGGCAAAGAGACTGAGGAGATGAAGAAGGATGAGATGAACAGGAAGAGGAATCAGAGAAAGATGGTGTAGCTGAGTGTATGTTTCAGGTTTTGGTCTTACTGTTGCTCTGACACTTCCTTTTTAACCCTCTATGATATCAGCTTACCAAAAAAAGAAGAGACTCTAGATATTAAACAAAATGCTAGTCCCATCCCAGTTTTCTAATTCCAGATGATTTATTTTCAAACATTTTCAGAGAAAATTACCCAAATATAACTGGTGACAATCATGTGCTTCTTTGCTTTGTCTTGTATGAAAATATAATTAATTATTTTGGATTTTTGACATCTGATCAGAAAAAACAAGATGACAATTTGCACAACAAAGGATAAGATTTTTTTTTCTGTCCATTTGTTGTTGTTATTTCCATTTTCCCCTTTTATGCCCATTTTCATCATTTTGTAAATTGTACTTGTCAAAAAAAAAATTAAAAATTAACAGACTAATAAAAATAAAATACATCTCTTAGTTCTCTCTAACAGAAGTCAATGAATGAATGATTAAAGATAGGTTTCTCAGATATTTTGCTCTGAAGTCTTGGCACTGCTGGAAAGCAGAAGAATCTTGTATACAAGTGATTAAATGTTTCTGTCATTTTTTCTGCAGATAACACAAGTGATGGATTTTTAAACTTTTGTTTTGCTTTTCAGCTGCTAATGAAACTGTCAGCTAGAGAGACGCTCAACCTTATGAGACTCTGTTAATCTGAAAGCACTCATTTCAGCCCTGTGTTGTGTGGAAGCTTCACAGAAATGTGTTAAAATCCTGAGTGTCCAAACACTTTTACACTGACAAGTTGCATGTTTAACGAGACGCTCGCTAAATGCAGCATTTCTTGCTTCGTACACTCACAAGGTAATAAAGGGTTTTTTAAAATCCAGAACAAATAAGTCATTAATGAAATCTATCACAACTCCTGCAGAAATGACAGATTTCCCTTTGAGCGAGTGACCGATGTCATCCGTTGTATCCACTGTCATCATATCTAATTAGGTAAGGCTGAACTTCAACACTCCAATAATGGCCAGTGATGTTCAAAGACATAAGCAGAACTTCCTATGTACCAGGTTTGGTTCAGTGCACACAGTTTTGACAAAACATTTCAGTCACACACGGCATTATTCTGACCAATCACCAGTGCTACAGATTATTTTGTTGCCCTCTCTGTCCTTGGTTGCAAACTACGACCCTCGCAGGACAGCAAACTCTTTACTTTGGAGACGGACACACCAGCAATGAGAACATGAGTGAAGAGCAAGCAACACAGGGGAAAATGGGAAGGCATCAACCAGAGTAACTCACAATCACTTTGTAGAAGCCCAATAATGTTAATACGACCTTTAAAAAAAAAAAAAAAAAAATCTAAACACAGTGTAGCTGTTTTACATAGAAGTACATTGGAGTGATGATGAGTTACCCTGGCAGAAAACGGGTAAAGAAATGCAAACAGGGCTTGTAAAAGAGGCAGGCTGCACTGGACTATCTGAAAGCACATGTAGTGTGACAGGTCTTCCTGCAGGCACCAGCAATGAGGCAAGGGAACAAGAGCAAAGAGGGGGGAGAAGGATGGTTGGTGACACAAGGAGGAAGACGGGAGGGACAGGGTTGGTTTTTTTCTCTCTCTCTCTCTCTCGCTTTAGGTTTAATTTGGCATGTGGCGGCACTCACCGACTCCAGGCCCGGTGACAGAGCTGGCTGGCTTGTTTTGTGCAGAAGCAGCAGCGGCCACGGCAGTGCCGTATCCGCCCTTACAGAAATCCCCACTCCCTGAAGCCTGGCCCACATCCTCATAGCCTGCAACAGTCAGACACACAGCCGCAGCCCACAGCATTAGACACACCAGGCAGGGGAAGCAGACCTGCCTCAGATGGCATCTGCAAATGATTCATAGCGTTTTGTTTGAAAATTGGACCACATGGACAGGTTTTACCAAGTTGGGACAATGCAGATGGTATCAAGTTCCCTCCGCTGTAACAACCAGAACTTTGATACCAACTGCAGCGTCTGTGTGGCAAAACCTGTCCGTCCAGTACAACAAGCAGGTCAGAATCAACGCTGACGTCATTTGCAGGTACCATCTGACCCAAGTCTGAGGGGGAGGAGGTGAGGGAAGTGAGGGGGCAGGCAGGGCGTGTGTATGGGGGTGGAGAGTGAGCTTGAGTTGGGTAATGGCAGAAAGCAGCAGATGGTGCAGCTTAGAACAAATAGGTTTTCCACATGTTGTGACTAAAGGCGGATACCGAGTGATGAATAAAGTATGTTAACTAAAGCCTCAGTGAAGTGATTGGATAGAATATATAAAAAAAACAAAGGTGAAAGAATATCGTCTCAAATGTCAGTCTTTGGGGAAAATAGGAAGATGTTGGCTTCATGTGTTGATGTGTTCAACATGAAGGTGTGTGCAGGCGAGGTGGTGGATAGTAAAGCTCTGGGGCAAACTGCATTCTGAGATGAGCAAAGCAAGCCATGGAAAAAAGCGAGAAACCCATAATCTAACCCTGTTCGTTTGTAAACTGGTACAGCCAGATGCCACTTTTAAAGCCCCTTATCCCTTTCTCTTTAGACAGCATATACTTGATCTAAAGACGCCCTTTAATAAAAGTGACATAAGATGCATTCTTGTTGTTAGAGAAGAATTACTCAGGCATTTTCCTCACGTGTACAGGCACTGAAACTGTATGAGATGCAGATGCGTTTTCTGACACACCAAACCATGTTCTGGTCATGAAAACATTAAACTTTCACGTCAACATCCGGGTCACAAGAATGATTCATAAACCATGAGCAAGTGTCTTGACACAAGCATAACAAAGGCCATTACACGAGCACCATGTTTATGCTTGCAGATGTTGCAGCGCTCGAATGAAATACGCACTCCACCGATGGGAAATCAATGGGCTCATTGTGAGAATCGGCACAGAGTCATCGGTGTCCAAGTACACTAGCACAACCCCATAAACATGCCGTTTCAACATTATTTAGGCTCTCACCAGTGCTGTATCCATGGGAACCATAGCCACTAGCCTGTTGAAAGGGTGTGGCCGAGGCATTGACGCCGACATTCACACCGTGCTGTTTTGACGAGGTAGGAGCCACCTGGACGGGCGGGGGAAAAAAAATAGAGAGTCAAGAGGTCAGCAAAGGAAAATGTGAAAAGTTCACAATCATGGTGGTGAAACACACATTCAGGTTCTGATAATGCATTTTTTTAAACTGCTTAAATCGCTCTCATATTGCCACCAGAGGAAATGCTACAGGCAGGGTCGGGGGCTGAAACGAAGCGATATCAGGCAAGTTGAAGGAACCTGTTTAGGCTAGTGTTTCTGTCACTCACAATCACAAATTTGGCTTTAATTCCAACTGGCTAGGGTAAACTTTTAAATCGTTGACAAGAAATTAGTCCCTCTTTTTTTCTATTTTAGAAAAGTTTAACGTTAAGGCAAAGCTACTAGAAAGACGAGTAGAGGTCGAGCTGCAGCCTCTGTTGTATGGCTGAAGTCAAAGATAAACTGATTGTACTTGTTACAGTAAGTAGCTTTTTACTCTCCCATCACTGCTAGCTGCCAGCTCAATATGCAACATATCTTCAAAGATGACCACAGGCTGACAGAAGCCACTCTGTCTCTCACTGTCTAAAGGGAAGAATTAATTTAAAGGCGGCCTTTTATGCTCAATTTGTCTTTATTGTTGGACACTATTAAGAGCAGAATACTTACTCATGATACACTGGGGCTTGGTGCAGCCCCTCAGGTGTTGAGGAGATTATAGCTCCTGTTCTTTTAAGGCCACCCTCCCATTAAGGCAACTTTCTTCTGATTGGCTACTTCTCACAAACAGCAGGTTTGTATTTTCAATTAACATTTGTTTCTTTCTCAGTAAAACTATACAATGAGCCTCTAATACTCTAATATACTCCCCTCATCTACTAGTGGTGGAAATATAAGGCACTGGACTTCATACCCACACGAAAAGAAAAAAAATAAATAAATCAACAACTGCTTGTTGTTATATAATAACGCTAAGAAATTGCAAACAAGGAAAAAGTTAATTATTTTGGATATTAAGATTTCTCACCGGAAACACAGCAGGTCCATACTGAAAGGTATTGGGCAATCCTGGCATGCCAGTGTAGTACGGGAGACTGGTGTAGCTGTAGCCTGGCGGCAGCGCAGGATTCAGGAAGGGCTGCTGTGTGGTGTGATGCGTCTGGCTCTGATTCTGTTGTGTCTGAGCTAATGTGGTAGCTGGAGCCGGAGAAGAGGCATCAGCTCGACCAAACTTTGATAAGTCACCTTAAAGAAAATGGGAATAAAAGATTGAAACATGATATAGCAGTAAAATAATACATTTTTAAAATAAAATGATATTTTCTAATCACACATAGTAGTAGATAGTCTGTCTCACTCTTTTAGACTTTTAATGGAGCTAAAAAACTAAAAACTAGAAAGTGTCTCACCAGAATAAGGGTTGCTTGTCAAGCTGCCCTCTCTGCCTGTCAGTGCTGTTGTGGGTGTTGCTGCAAAGGGAATGCTGTAATAATCCTGGATGAGAAAAATATTACAATATAAGAACACAAGAAATTGAGTGACTACATACCCATCACATAACTTGGGATGGGTATGTAATGGTAAACATTTTTCTAAACTGTTCACTGTTGCCTATGAGCCAGTC